AAAAAGAAAAGGAAAAATGAAAAATAAAGTGATTATCAATATTATTATTGCATATCCTTTTTGTATGAGGTCACAATCTGATGCTGACTTCTCATTTAAAAGAAAGAAAATGAGCTTAAAAGAATTAGTTAGGATTGAATCTAATTGCTACTCCATRTTTGTCAAGTGGTTCAAAACTCCCCTTTTTAGATTTTTTCTTTTATCAAAAATTTATGTATTCAGAAAGGTTCTCCTTTCTCTTTTAAGTTTTGATATAATCTAAAAGATTTCTACTCGCTTTTACTTTTGTGTGCAGACCATACTCGAAGTAGGGATTTATGATTTTCTAAAACAGGCAAACGTATCTTTAATCGTTGAGCTATGTTTGTTGGCTAGATTTTATTTCGAAAAACTTTAGTATATAAATATATCTTTATTTTGTGAAAGGTTTGATTATACAATATCTATACAAGGAGTAAGGTAAAAATAATAATTCAACATGCGGGGTGGGAATCAAACTCACAACCTTTTGGTTAGAGATATATATCAGTTACCATTGAACTATGCTTGCTTCGGCAACCAAAAAAATCTACTACCATGCGCAACCTATGTATTTTGCCGATTTAAATACAATTTTTTATCTCTTGTACTAGTACTTAACTTTTGAAGTGATCATTTTGATCCATTCGTTTTCACTTTTACCTCATTTCTTTAAATTATAAATTCAGCATATCACTCCACTCGCTAAATTTCTTGAAATGTGACCATAAATTTGTATTAAAGACCTTTCATTGTACATAAAATTTGTGTTAGAATTTTAATGTAAACCAAAATGGTTACTTTTTTAAAATACAAATACCAAAGTGGACATTTCGAGAGTACATACATAAACTAAAATGAACAAAAATTAAAAGTAGGAGAACCAGAACGGATGTTCCCAAAGTACAATAACAAAAATGAACCAAAGTCGAAAAAAATAATACTTAAAACCTAGTTTGCCCTTATTAACAATCCAAAGCAAACTAAACTAAGTAATTAGGTGACATGTCAACACTAAATATGTGTACCACAAAACAAGCTAACATGGCAAACTTATTACTTAACCCAAATATAGGTAGAGATTCAAATCAAAATTAGACAAAAGTAGGTCAGATCTATGTTCTAAACACCATCTGTCCACCTCTCTTTCACTCTTTCCATCATTCTTCCCTTCTCCCCCTTCAATTTAGGTAGCCCAATGCTACATACCCATTGTCAAAGGAACACCAAGCATAGATAGAAAATGTCCGATGGACACGTGACAAAATATATAACGAGATAACAGATTCGATCTAGAGACAATCTAATTATAAGTTACAATCCATGTGGTGATAGGTAGTGGGCAATAGTGTTGCATATCTATCCATGTAACTTCAAATGAAAGCATGTTATATATATATTCATACACATTACAAGTGATTATGACATTGAAAAATAAGGAATTGAAATGTTCGATTGGGCACTAAATACAAGTTGTAGGTTATTCCTAAGGATGTTGATTACACTTTTAATATAAAGTCGAATCTTATCTCCACAGGTAAACTTGATGATACAAGTCATTACGGTTGTGGTACAAAAGCTAAAAAATTCTTCCAGACAAGGTGCATGTATATACAGTGTGTTGCTAATATTCTCTCAAAGGGAAGTTGTAAGCGAATGCTATAATGAACTTTTCACACCCTAAGATGTAGGCATATGGTATAGAATGTTCTTAAACTTTTAGGAAAGAGAGAAGAAATAGCCATGGCCTGCAAAAAATTTAGGGAAAAAATACATAAAAATTGAAAGAGAAAATGGGAGAATATTATTCTCAAAGATTACGTGTCTACCTACTTTTTTTCTCAATGATAAAAACATCTCTCTAAAATGTCTTCTATGTGATGAGCAAAACTTAATCCCCAAAAGATGGCGTAGTGGCAAATGTTTGGACCTTGGAATACCACCTACTTTGAGGTCTCAAGTTCGAACCCTGTCTTGATCATAGTGTTGCACAGCTTAACAACGAGCCACAATCATAGAAATCTATTAGCATAAGCCACATAGCATCAATTTCGAGAAATAAAAAAAAAAGAAGGGGAAAAAAAGCACAACCTTAGAAGAATCAGCCCCTTTATATATATACACACACGTGAGTATCCAGACCAGCTTATGCGTATCTCGACTGATCTCACGGGACAACCACCTGACCTTATGACATTTGGTGTCGGAAAGTACATAGGAATAAATTCCTAAGGTAGATAGCTATTATGGGGATTAAACTCATTCTATCTCACCTTATCCAAATCTCTTTGGACCAATGGTCACCCGTAATGGTTGAAGAACATGAAGAACTAACAGATAAAGCACCAAAACTAAGCAAATGAAAAGGAAAATAGTGTCATCTCTAACAAACTAGAAGAGCCTTGCTCTGCCACTCCTATAGGGGGTTTTCTGCCTCAATGGAAAAAGTTATCCTCTTCCACCACACTAATGAATAGGATTTGTAGTTCCAAACCGTAACTAGAAGGTAGATATAAATTATAATCAATAATTTGAAGATCAAAATCAATAACGAGTACCAGGTGACTCGGGCACCCGATCTAAACAGATGGAGAGAACCAATACGTCCAATAAGACAACTTATAGAAAATACAGAGTATACCACAGATCACTATAAGAAGAAGGAAAAAAAAAAAAAAAGATAGTCTAGCCATCCCTTCCCCAAGTTACACGATTTATCAATTTCCTATCCTTATTCATCCAAGTGCCTCAAGCATCTTCCACTTTCACTTGATATTCATCTATAGTTTGTTTCATTCCATCCAACTTTGAGATCATGTATTCTAGTTTCTTGCAGCAAAGTTCATTGGTTATCCTTGAACTATAATCACACTTCTCGAATGGACGGTATTCACATGCACTTTTGATTTCATCCCGCAACGTAACTTGGATATCCTGATTTCAAATTCAAAGAGATTTTAGGTGGAATCTAGGAGTGCATTTATATGGTTATAAATGGAAACACTTACTTTACTAGGAGGGGCAGAGAAACAAGTATGGCTTCTTCCAACAAGAAAAAATGAGTGCTTTTGAAATTTTCGAAAAATGTTTTTAACGTATAGCCCAAAACATACTCTTACTTAGAACTCAAATTGGTAATATTATCGTCGCTCATGAAACACCAAATCATGACAATGATGCCCCATCTTTAACAATATTAAAAATACACAAACCAACCCCAAAACAATTATCTTTCAATTATTCTCTACAGTCATTCCCTATTTTTTCCGTGCAGGAATTAGTTACAAGTGAGAGCCCCTTCCGTAATCAAATTTCATCTGGACTGCTAATAGGATTAAATTTAACATAATAACATTCTCTAAAAGCAACAATTAAACAAAGTTCAATTTTGTGAACCAGTTGGTTGGGTTTCAGCTTATCATAACAATTTCAAGTTACCGTGAACGATCTAATGCATGGTCGAATGTTCAGGATAATCTAATTCTACCTTGAAGCATTACCAGCTGAGATATCAATCTCAGTTATCAAATCCACATTTGAAAAATCAACAGAGGTCTCACCTTGATGAATTGCATGAACTCACTGCAATGATTGTTAACAAATTCCTTTCTTGGACCAGCAGGGTTGGCAAGCTCTTCCATAACTCCCCCTGCTAGCTCCAAGACCCTCACAATTCTCTGCAGGAGAAAAACGCAAAAGTTGGTCAAAAGAAATCTAGTGTTTCAATAAAAGACCAGGCAAAGAATTAGAAACAAAAATTTTCAGGTATGGAAAGTCATTCCAACCTTCTCCACATTTTGAAGTCGTTGTAACGAAGTATTTTGGGTCAGCGGATCCATCAAGAGCTCTGCTGGAAATGGAGGATTTTAAACTAACTAATCTCTGAACAAAATAAAATTAAATAATCAATAAAGAAAGCTACAATAGCATCCTCATAACTGTTGGCATCTTACTTTAAAACTTAAGAAGCCATTGAGACATGAAATAATATGATTTATGTAAAGAACACTCTTTGAATGTTATGGCATATGAGTAAACCTCAATTTTGCCAGAAGCAATTTAATGATCTCTTAAAAACTTAAATTGTTAAAATAATGACATATAAGTCTAAGTTTCCTGACTGACGACATTTCCTAATCAGTTTAATTCAAATAAACTTTTGGAAAGAACACCAAATTAGGAGCCGCATCCAACCATAGTCTTTAGGTATGATTGAACATCCGAGAAGATAAAATTTATAGGGAAAAGGAAGAGAATGAAATGTAAAATAAGGAATCAGAAATAAAGTGAAAGAAAATATGGAACAAATAAAAACAGATCGCCTCTGGAAAAGAAAAAGTCAGTGAGCAATTTGTTTATACTAAAAGGTATTTAGCATCTCCATCTCCAGCACAAAAAAGATTGCAGTTGCCTTCTTGGATTGATCATATGAACTATTTCATTTGATGCTACATAAATATGTTAGAACTTGATAGCAAGGGGGTTGTATGGTAATTATCAAGGTAGTCTATTAGGAATTTTTTATGGTTAAATTGTTATAAGTAGAAAGATTAGGCATATGAAAGGTAGGCAATACTGGAGTGGTTTAGTTTTGAGGAGGGTCCCAATGCCTGGAAGTACTTGTATCTTGCTGTATTTTTAATTTTCAAGTCTTATTATCTGGTTCCTATCAAAATAATAAGCATGTAGCACACAGACACATAACACACAACTCCAAGGGAAAGTTTTGAAACTCATATATGCACATGGCAATGTACTTGAAGCCAAGTGTCATATTTCTAGCATACTACCTTAATTTCACCAGCATAAATATACAAATATATACAAAGCATATTAACTTCGTGATTTAAGAATAAATATAGATCATATAGAATTCACAAATTTTAGAAAGCCTTCTTGCACATGTAGCATGCTTTCCTCCTCCTTCGTACTCATCAAAATTACATCTTCCTCGTCTTTCTCTTATTATATAATATAACTAAGGGAGAGAAATGAGGACAAGGATTAAATGTATTCATCCATTAGATGCCATGTACAAGCTGAATATAAGTAGACCTCAAAAATGAACACGCGTCAGCTACGTGACTCGACAACCTAACTGAATAGACCAAATAATTAACAGAAATGTAACCATTTCTAAAATTACACTCCCCTCTTACTCTATCGTTAAATCACTTCATCTACCTTGTTTATCTTAAAGGATGGTCATTATTCTCTAACTTTCAACCCGTTTAGAGTCCGAGGATAACACCATCCGCATTAGTATTAAGAACATACAATTGCAAAAATTATATGAAAAACATTGATAAATGATAGGATCATATAAGAAGTCAGGGTCTTCAAAGCTTGGTTGGGTTTAGTAGTAATTTAATAGGGTATCGGAGTGGGAGAACCTGTATTCGAACACTGTAATTTCATTCCCTCCCATTGATTACCACTTGTTTACCCGTGTACTACTGCAACTTTTCAAGCCTACATGTGAGGGGTGTTTATTGATAAATGACTAAATTTGTCAAGTTTCCATGGTGATTTAACAAATACGAAAGACCAAATAATGATGTTAAACTGCAAACCAACCCAAACCATTTTCCAAATTATAACTGGGTTTAACCGAACGGATTCGGTGGTCTTAATTTCTGTCCAGTACTTACGAGCATTTCAATCTAACTAATCTTTACAGATTGAAGAAGGGAGAAAAAAAAAAGAAAACACTACGATGATCAACATATTGACACCAACGGAACAAAACCCCAAATATAAAATTAACGAAAATCGGTAATATTGCCATGATTAAAACAGTCCAGTCAAACAATGAATCTTCCAAAAGCTCGCCAGTCGAAAAGCCCGAATTGAGAACTAATCTTTCCCAACATTAATGGAAATTGGAGTTGCAGAAAGCATAAATCAAAGATATGAAAAGAACTACAAGATTAGAGATGGTGAATCTTACTATTTAGGAACCAAGTGGGGCGAGCTGCAACGTGCTGTGGTTGAGAGATGAAAATGACGGCGGCGGCGGCGGGTGAGCTGATGCGGTGAAGGACGGTGGAGGGATTGCTGACGGGAATCGCAGAGGCGGAGGAAATCCGGCGTATTAAGACTTGAGAGACAAGAGGGGGCTGCAACTTACAGAAATAACTGAAATAAATATTTTGAGGTTTAAATATTGTTCTAATGTGGTTGATTTTGTTTTTTTTTGTACTTTTAAAATTTTTTATTGTACTTTCAACTTCGATTATTTTAGTTTTTTTATTTCTATGACGTGGATTTTAATATTTGAATTTTAGAAAGTGACTATTTTTTTTCTTTATTTTTATTTTTAAATATTTTTTTATATCATATTTTTAGTATGTCATCGTAAATTTGTATTAAAGAGTTTTTATTAGGTATAAATTTTATGTTAAAATTTTACAAATATATATATCAAATTAGCCACCTTACGTACAAAATTAAATTAGACGTTTTAGAAGTATAAATATAGATTAAAATAATAAAAATTGAAAGTAAATCAACTAAAATGATTGTTTGAAAGTTATTTATTTTAATCTTTATACTTAGTTTAAATTTTAAAATATTTATTTTTGTTTTTAAACTCGGATTACTGAGCTTTCAAAATAAAAGTTCAAATTAATTAATTACAAAATTACTATATCTAATTATATTTAGTTTTAAAAAATATAAAAAGATTTGGAATTCTACATTGTACGATTTTCAACTCTTTTTTTTCTTTTTACTTCTCTTTTTCTCACACGCTTTTATTTTTGGGCTTCTCACTCCCACATTCAATATGGTAAGAAACATAAAAGTCACGAGTTTAACCGTTTTTAGTGGTTTCAACCCTAAGAGGAGAAGGCACACTAAAAACCTAGAATATTATGTGTGAATTATCAAAAGAGATTGGGTGACGTCATTACCACTATCTTCTCGACGACAAGACAGAAGATACTTGAAAATAATGCAGATCTATCTTTATTTGCTTTTGTCAAGTAATTTGTTTGTAATAATTATGTCCATAGGCATATTTTATGCATCTTTATTTCAACCTTTTAAGATTCCTTTAAGATAACGTCAAGCGGGACCCTATCTTACTGGTACATCTTATCATAATCTTATCTTTTGAAAAGGATTTGGGCCAATCATAAACGGCCACGTCATTATCTATTTTATTTAGGGATTAATTATATATTAACCCTAAATTAAAATTAAAGATAATTTGACAATTAAAATATGTAATTGGGTCATATGGGTATTTTGGATTGGAATCAATTTGGTTCACAATCTTGGCCCAAAACCCAATTTACYATGAAATAAAGTGGATTAATATTTAAATTTAAATAAATCCATTTAAAAGAATTGGGCTTGGCCCAAAATTACCCAAGCCCGATGGCCCACCAAAGCCTATGGAAACCTCTATAAATAGAAGAGACTTCATTCATTTTGGAAGGTCAGAATTTCAGAATTGAGAGAATTCACACCAAATTGAAAACTCTCTGAAGACTTGAAGATTCGAAGACCAACTTGAAGACTTTGAACACTTGAAGACTTGAAGAACATATAACTTCGATCCAAATTCAAGAACAAGCATTTCAATCTTCACATCAAGTTCGAGGGAAAGAATCAGAGGATAAAGATTAGAGATTGAATCCAGTATACAACACATACTATAAATATAAAAGTTCAACACATCCTAATAACCGTTCAAAGTGATAAGATTGCTTCAGACATCAATTATTGTCTTGTCTAGAGATTTATCAAGAGAATCAGTAAACCTCTATAAGTATACTCAAAAACCTCGCTTGTATGATGCAATTAAGTATGTCTTATTTGCGTACATTTTATTATTTTTGTGATTAATTCTAAAACTATCCTATTATTATTTTTATTCTTTTAAATACATTTTTAACTCAAATTTAAATACATTATCATTGTAAAAAGTTCTTTTTTCAAAGATTTGCCACCTTCCCTCCTCCCGCTCTCCTCTTGATCATCGAATGAACAGTAAAAGGTAAAAGTAAGTCATTTACTCAAAAAGATAAAGTTAAGTTTTAATGCCATGCAACCTTCACAACTTAAGTTTCTTCTAATAATTTCTCGAAATATAATTTTTAAACTTATATATCTTTATAAGTTAAAATTACCAGTTACATTATTCTACCCTCTAAAATAATTTCTTCCTAACCAAACTCTACGACAAATCATCAAACGCCAAGAGAGAGAAAGAAAACAAATCTTTGTCTTCTGGACTGATTGCATTTCAGAATCTAAAGTTTGAAGTCTAGAAGTCGAATATGTGTTACACTAAAGTAACTAGGAATCTATTTGGTATTTATTGTTTTTTAAAAACATAAGCACCTAATAACCATTCATGTCGAGAAATTTTGAAAAGAAACTAAATCAAGTTTCTTGYTTCTTTCATTCTCATTTTCAGTTTTTTTTAAAACATATATAAAAATATTAATTTATCATTTTTAACTTACAAAATGCATAATAAATATTAAGCGATATTTAATTTAAAAAGTTAATTTTCATATCAATATTAAGAAAATAAATATTAACATAAGGAATAAATATTTAATTTAAAAAGTTAATTTTCATATCAATATTTACTTTTCTTAATTTAAAATTTTAGAAAAAATAATTACCAAACATATTTATATTTATTTTTCCAGAACCAAAAAGAAAAAAGTGTTATCAAAGGCAGCGATTATACTATAAGAAACCAACTTCTCCACTTGGTTGATACAGAACCTATGTCATGAATTCGTTACCATCTTAATCATTCGATTGAAAGCCAACCTTTCCACTTCATTTATTCAGTTCAGAACAGAAGCTATGTAAAAAATTCGCTACTATCTTAATCGTTCGGTCGAAAGATAAACTTCCAGTTCCAATCTGCACGCTCGACCGATTCACCTCTAGCTGATTCAGGGTGGATGCCTACAGTATTCACAAAGTTCTCCAGCTCGTATGATCTTTCTCAATACTACATTTTACGATTGTTAGTCATGCCATAGACCAGCTTTCAAGAACCACGGATTGGTGCACCTATTGAAGGAAGAATCGTCAGAATCGTGTCAGTTCAGTTCGATATGAAGCTAAATAATGATAAAGTTTTCTACGCGAAGTGTTTTCTGGTGACATTTCTAGTACAACATTTGTTCTAACAGCGATTACGATCCTAAAACAGATTATTCCAACCTTGATAGATAAAAGGGCATGCAGTTTTAAGTTCTCCACTATTTTCCGCAAGGAAAAAAAATGGCTATGTTGACCAAGTCCAAAAAAAAAGGCTTTCTGAAGCTGGCTAGTGGAATTTTTATCAATGTGATTGAAGTGAGGAAGGAATCAATGTGCAACACAGTGAGAGAGATGAGCAGATGGTATGGGCATACAAAAACTACCCGCTAAGAGGAACCCGATCGAAAAAAATAACACCAAACGGATAATTACAAAATGTCTTAGAAAATCATTCACATAAAGAGGCATTAAATCTAATAATGTCTCAAACCTTCTCCTAAGATGTCTCAGTACCTAAAAACTCTATTATTCCTCTCCAGTCAAATACCACAAAATAGTGGCCGCTCTAAAAACTCTACTATTTGTCTCCCGTCAAATACCACAAAATAGCGAGAAAAAAAGACTGCCGAAGAGAATTTTCCTTATCCTAGAAGGGAGGATACAACAACACGTCCACCGCTGCCTGACAATATCTCTCCAAAGAGACCCCAAAAGATTTTTAAAAAGGCACCCAAATGAGCTGGGCAAACTAACAGCTCCAAAGGATGTGGTCATTCCAATATTTCATCTTTAAAATGCCATTCTTCAAATAACAAGTAAGAAAATGATAATATTATCCATGATGAAAGGGAAAAAAAAGAGAAAAAAAGAGAGGAAATGACAAAACATATATTGGAAGTTTTGAAAAAAGAAAAACCTACAAAAAAATTCGTTGATGCATCGTGCATCAAAACTCAACCATACACAAAGTAACAAACTGTTCGAACCATAAACTAAGTGAGTTGAATCAAGTCATTCTTACTATGGTCATCTTCCTCGTCATCGCCACTGCGACTCTTAAAGAATGGGGTCAGGTAGTTCTTATTCAAAGCTGTAAATGATGCAGTGCTGAGGAAAAAAGGGAGAGCTTCATTAATGATGATTCAATAAACAGAGAAGTCTAAAAATGAAAGGATGATATTAGATGTCATGTCACCTCTCATGAAACTCCTTAAGCTTCATTTTGATCCTGCTCCTTGATGACCCTTCATCATTATAAGGAGCAATGTAGCCATTGCTAGCATCAGTGCTCTGAGAGAAAGAGGAAACAAAAGGTTAAAAGGTGTTGAGTTTCATTAACTATTACTGTAGCAACAGGAGACCCTTCCTCAAAAAAAAAAAAAAAAAAAAAAAAGGAAAAAGGGAGACAGCAGACCCATTCCCCAGCTTGTTTCCAGCACATGAATAACATAACAGAGAACATTCCGAGGAAATATTATAAAAACTAGAGAATTGAAATAGAAATTGTATTGATAATTTCCAAGATAAGTAAACAATTAAACAATTGCTTGCCTTCACCTCTCTTTCTCACTCTATCTATAACCACCTCTTACTCACAAATTCCTTCGGTAATGATCAATATGCCCTTAGTTACCCTACTCATATCTCTAAATCTACCTTCATAGGATGCCTAACATTACCCAACACACAGTTTCAATGAGGAAATACAGACCACATGGAGAGTACCACCAACCTTGTTCCATCGTTTTTTATAACCCATAAAAGAAATGTCCTACTCCACTTATTTCACTAATTTCCCTGTGAAACGGTTACAACAAAGTTCCCAGCTCAATAGGAAAACAAAAAGTGGATTCACAACTATATTTTCTAAGTCATGTTTGCAATCAATATTAAACTCGAAGCCCAATAACTTGGTTAACCATCTTTGGTGTAGGAAGTTACTTTTCTGGTCTATACCATTGTAAAATTCCTCCATAGAATAACACAACGCCTTGCTTGGCCCATTAGGACTCTAACTAAACTAGGCTATTGGCCATTATTACAAGTGCCATCACTATTGCTAAGGCATCTAAACATTTTAAATCACCAATGAACCTAAAAGCCTTCATTGGTGATTTAACCGTGTTTAAGATGGTATGAGAGCAAGACGTCGTATCTGAAGCCCTATGTTGTCAATCCTCCCCATTTAATATTGATTTCTACAAATTTTCAAGCTTAGAAGTGAAGGGAAGTATTTGTGTGTGTGTGTGTGAAAATTGCTCCCGACACAGAGAACAAACTAAACAAATACAACAAAAAATTTACAATGTTTGGGTCGGTTTGAGTTGAACCAAGCCTAAAACTCTGCAACCAAAGAACAAACTTGAACATTCGGTTCTCTTAAATTTCAACTCCAAATTACTCAAGAATTTATTTGACCCAACAGCTCGGATTGGGTTGCTCAGTTCTTATGGTTGTCGGGTTGAACACCCATAGGACCAAATCACAAAAAAGAAAGAATATAGAAAAAATTTAATTCCCAGGAAATAAAATTATCAACAGGCACTTCAGAGGCTAATCTCTCCTATCACAGTAGCATTATACCAACTTAAAACTTAAATACACTCTTCACACCTCCCAAGTTCCAACTCTCTCTTTTAAACTATGCTTTGTCCTCTTCCCACGGTCCCACTATGTATAACTAAATCAGAAACTGTGTAAGGTTTTGAATACATGGTTACAAGTACATGTATAGCCTTCCTTTTTTACTTGCTCCCCTCTTATTTAAACTCTTACTGTCCCTTCTCAAAATGCACCATTCCAAATATTCTCACCCCACTTGGAATTAGTAAACTGGATGGGCAACCCACTCATGAACTTATCAAAGTCTTTAGGCTAGAACCCCTATACAATATTTTCATTTGCAATTTTCCTTCTTTCAGAATAGACAGTAAGTATATTAGATTGAGCCAAAAGAACAAAGCCATGTTACATACCTACTTCCCATTCCTATAAGAAATCACGCTGAGAATGGCCAAACAAGCCTCAATATACCTACTTCCCAATCCTTTATGAAATGGAAGTTTCCCAAAATTTTCCCTGAATTTGTTCACAAACCTCAATATACCAAATGAAAACAAAGGTTAATATTAATACAACCACATCAATGATTTTGTGATGGGAGGTGGAAATGATAAAACGGTCTAGAGCCTAGAGAGTTCGGGGCTGTTTTCCTCCAAATCAGTGTTCCTAAAGCTAGCTCTTATGCCTAGAAACGTAAGGTCTCCTATACTAAGCCTCGTGTAAAATTCCTAAGAAGGTCGAGCAATTTTTGTGGAGTGGCCTACAGATGCTTAAACACAATGGATAAGTTAGAAAGAAAATTCCCAATCTCCCACAATGTGTTGCTTATGTCACAGAGAAGGTGAATCTCTAGACCATCTCATTCTAAACTTCTCCTTTGCATCGGGGGGTGGTCTTTTATTCTGAAAGAAGTGGGTGTACAATTCAGTCTCCCCAATAGAATAGAAGATTGGTTGGCAGAAGCTTCGAGAGGATGGAACCTAAAAGGAAAGATCAAAATTCTTTGAGTTGTGCTGCTACAGGTCTTTTATGGCACTTGTGGAGAGAGCAAAACCAAAGGATCTTCGAAGTCTCGTTTTGATTCTTTTTGTGCTACTAACCATCCAAAACTATTATGTAATTATAGCCTTTTCATGATCATTAATGATTGGAGGACTATTACTCATTAGTTTTTGAGGCGGAGGTTTCTCTATACCCGACATTTAGGCTGTTTTCCAAGCTGTTTTATTAGTATATATCTTCTTTTGTCTCTTATCAAGGAAAAAAAGAAGCTAATACACCCACAACCAGGTTCAAGACCTACTTCCCATAAAGTTCATGCATGTAACTAAAACAACTGTGTATCTAAGATCATTAATGAAGACATAAAAATTTAAAATTAAAAAAAAAAGTCAAAAATGCAAAATTCATACAACTTACTTCAGTCAAAGAGTATTCATGGTCATCACCATCACCTACAACTTGTAAAGCTTCTAGCATAGTACCAGTTGAACCTCCAATAAGTAACACCTGAAAATATTTCAAAGAAAGTGACGAGAAAAACCGAATAATATGATTCATCATAAGTCCATTGGGAAGGTCAGCAAGGAGACGAAGGTTAGTTACAATATGATATTTATGGGACTATTTTTTTTTTTTTGTACAATAAAGGAGGTGGAAGATTCAAACTCGTGACCTCTTGGTTAGAGATAGGTGCCAATTGCAGCTTATGGGTTTTAAGTTTAATGTTTCTAATTAGATTTTTTTTCACTAAATAATCTTGAAGCTACCCTTTTGTTTTTCTCAACGCCAAATCAAGAGCCTTCTATCTCCTTTTTCTTCCTCTTGGAAGGGAATGAAAATTGAGGGAGGGACAAATTAGGAAAGGTAGGGTTTAAAAATTTACCACAGAAAAACGAACTGATTACTTAAGAGAAATGGATGGAAAGTTCTGCATCAAAAAAGGCGAAGTAATGCAAATAAAAGTTCTTTGTTAATCTCCAGGCGTATCGTGTCAAAAAAATTTATATCCGTTCTTCGGCAACACCCCCCTCTCAACCAATCCATCTTCCTTATCTCTTGAAAATATTGAATTTTTTGGGAACTTCCTCCTCCCTAAAGCCTGCAGATTTATCCATTCGCCAGCCAACTCTCCATCTTCCTCTGCTCATTCCCCTCATAACTTTCAGAATATCTCAAATGCCCTTCAATCCACTCCATTCTTTTTGTACCCAATGGATGGGGTCCCTTGAGTTAATCATCTTAAGCACTTCTTAGGCAAACGCATGTTGGAACTTCAGCATTAGCAGTTCTCCAGCTAATAATCTACAATAATTGAATCTATTTTAAGCTGCTATTTACTGCACTCCAGCATTATACAGGAACATTGGCAACACTCTAAGTCATCCTTACAACAAGAAGGACGTGGGACACAGTAGCACAATAGTTTCTATGATTGATAAATTCAAGTTTTAATAGTTATAACCATTAAGTAAAGTGAAATATATGTACTCAAAAAGAGAGAAAAAAAAAGTAAAGTGAAATATATTTTTTTGAAAAGAAGTTACACAGAATCATTCATCAAAATTTGATCTTAATGACAAAACTTGGATTGCCCACCGTCAAAACAACTATTGCAGTAGTTGCAGTGAAAATTGTCTGCCCGTGTCCGTCTGGAAGATCATGGATCGATTGTAGAGCAAGAGCAAAAGCCATAGCCCCACGAAGTCCTACTCAACATTTCAACACATTAGAACTATAATTGAATAATGGACCCATCCCATCGAACAACATTAAATAAATAAATGAATAGCAAATATTGCTCCTCACCACTATACCAAAGTGCCTTCTGATGTTTTGAAGGTATTTTTCGATGTGCAGGTCGAACTAAGTTGACTAAATATGCACAAGAAAAGACATTTGCAGCCCTAAGAAATAATATAACACAAAATACTGTAGTCAAGCACACAAATATGAACCTCTAAATTGAACGAGAAATAAATTTTTTTTATTATAAACAGTATATTGATAGAGAAAAGGGACACCAAAGTACATGACGGATAAACCATCCTCTCAACTCAACTTAGAACTAAATGAATTATAAAAAGGCTATCCAATTGGTTTGTATCAAATAAGAATATCATGCAAAGATGCAGATAAGGAACTTCATCTGAAAACTTAAAAGAGAGAATAGTATCTCCAAAGATGCGAACTAGTGCGACAATTTAATGATCCAAGGTTGGCGAATAAGAGAGCAAAATCAGAAGCAATACCTTGCAACACAAATAAATAACTGAAGCGAGCATAGAGCTGATTAAGGAACCACAAGAAATTAAGATTAAGAAAGAAAAACAGAGAAAGTAGACTGTTCACAAAGATATGGATACGATCGAGAAAAAAATGAATCCAACATGTGACCAGCTATGTTGCTCCATTGCAATATCTAAGCCCATATATATAAATCTGGAAGACAAAAACCAAAAAATACTATGAAATAAGTTTATGAATGTCAAGTGGATAAAGGATGCCTGACTAAGGCTAGATAAAATTGGTCATGTCTTCCTTACATAAATGTCTCTGCCAGAGATGATATCAAGTGAAAAAATTCCGCAACAAATTGTTGTGAAGACTCTGATAAGTTCGAATATGTATAATGCTTCATCACCTAATAAAGAACGTCGAATATTATACATATATGATATATCAACAACTAGTATGGATGTATAAAACTACAACACAAGAAAAGAAGGAAAGAAAACTGTCATCTCTACTTACCATTCCTGTGAACAATATTGATACAATACCAGACAAACCAAAACCTTCCGCAAGCATGTACCTGTAGTAAGACATCTCATACTAAACTCCAATGTAAAAGGTAGCTATAATAAACTTAAGAGGGGAAAGAAGATTGCTTACGAGAAATACGGAAAAAGAACAAAAAGACAGCACTCCAAATTTTGAAGACTGGACAAAGCAACGAGTAGATTCAGATTCAGAATATTCAAAGAACCTTATGGTAAATTTTCATTAAAAAAAGTGTTAACTTTGGTCATCGACAATCTCTTAAAGTGTGTAGCACTTACTTATCAATGTCCAAGCCTGCATACTTAAAAAGGTTCTGAGAATTAAGGCTCAACGTGACATCAGAAAAGTGGAATATTAATAAAACTATAGCTACAGGCAACAAAGAGAACATTGATCATAAAAGGATATCAATGCAGAGGTAAATCCAACTCCAACACCTGCAGATCCATAGGCATGACATGATAAGTATCCTTGAGAACTTCCTCTTATTTATTCAATAATCAAGATAGCTGAATTAATTGGTCAAAAAAGTTACAAAACAAGGTCATTCAGTAAACAGCCGGAGAATTTTGAAGTGTACAAGAAAATAGTCCTTCAAAAAATGCTGATGCTTTGATAGTTATTTTGGTATATCAAAAGTCTTCATTAACTACAACAAGAGAGTTGATCTTTCTAGAGGATCTGTGGTTGAGACTAATTACGAGCCTGTTTAGCGCTGGAAGGCATCCTGTTTTGCGAGAGTTCTAGTCTTGGAAGGTTTCCAAATCATTGACATCTTTGCTTTATTAAACAAGCCATCTTATACTCAAAGGAAATGAGGAGTAGGTTTAATAAATTATTTGAGCCTAAGTGTTGGAAGACTATTTGTCCATGCTTCTCCCTTCCTCCAAGACTACTGGATAAATTTTTTCCCAAATCAAAGATATCATGTGAACAAAGACTTAGTACCCTATACAAGATGCCATTTAACCAATTCATAACAAAGTAACTCAAGTAAACAGTAAACTCTTAATTTAACAGTTACTACTCAACTAATTCATAAACCAATAAACTAAAAACAAAAATCAGTACCAACTGAACATAAACCTACACTGAAGTAACTTGCAACAAGCTATTAATAGCAGCACATGCCAGCTCTCACTACATCAACTAGAGTTATTTTTCCCTTTGAAACAAACTAGAGTTATTATCAGTATCCAAAATTCCAAATAGATGCACAACGATATTAATGTACCGGCTTTCATGAGTTCTCTAAAATTGTAGCATATAAGAGATGTGGAAGTACAGAGAGCAGAAGAAGATAGTTTAAGGACAAGATATGAGAGATAACCTGCAGACAGTGAGCCAACGAAAGTCTCAAGAAATCTAACAACCACCACGAAAAAGTTCTTCCCAGAATAAGCATGACTTCTAACCAAGGACATTGTTCTGTGAAAAATGACACTAATTAGAATAAATTCAATAATATAGGAAATGCAAAAACCCAATCAACTACTTCACATACCTATACAAAGAAATTGCCATCTGCCAATTATCCAACACAAGAACCAGAAATATTAAATAGAGTCAATCTTCAACCAAGATCAAAAATTACTGTAATATGGAAAACTTACGGCATCATTCAATACAGATTCTCCAAACACCAAAGCATAAAGGTTCACGTCTGTTCCAAGTTCCTAAAATTATAACATGACAGTGATGAATTACCTTATGATTAAAACAATATATTATATACAAAATTTAACAGTCAGGATATGAAGTCAATGAAACGTCAAGCAGAAACATGATGAAATTCAATTGATAGCATACAGTGATAATTTATGTATTTACAACTTACAAGTACATTTTTAGATACATAGAATATACATATTCTCAAAATTTTTACTGGGAAACTCTGAATCTAGTTGGACTTTTACTTCTCGAAAAGATAAGACACATTT